ACACACACACACACACACACACACACACACACACGTGCACGGACACACATGCGCATTTTATTTTTAAAACCACTGAAGAGACCAGACAACCAGCTAACAATTCAGTATCAGTGCCTGAAGTTATCTCCAGCTGCTTCTAGCCCTCATGGGAAAGATCTTCCAAGTAGAGGTTGCATACACATTCCCAAGAAGAGAAGGCAGCTGTTTCTTGAATGGTTGAAAGCAGGTATGTCTGTAGCCTTGAAAACGCCACCAGGTTAGCTCAAGGTTATTCTAAGGGAGCCAGAGTTCCCCTGTATCCACAGGGTGGTGCTATCCAAGGTGCTACACTAGAATTCAGGAGTACCTGGGTTTAAGACATTGCTCTGACATTTCCTAGCTTTGTGATGATCCTGACCTCCCCTCTCTCGGCCTGTTTTGTTGCCTCATCTGTAAAACCAGGACAGTAATACTTGTCCCAGTCACATTCTTATGAGGAAAGTGCTTTGTTAACCTTAAAGTGTTACAGAAATGGGAGTAATTATTAAGCTTGTCAGACCACTCAATTCAACTTCTATTAAGCTCCTATGATATGCACCAAAGATAAGAGACAAGCCAAGAAAGAGTTCTCTGCCCCCAAGGAGCTTACTTCCTACTGAGGTGATACAACATATACCCAGATAAGTAAATCGAAGATAATCTGAGAAGGGCAAGGAGCAGGAAAGGTTGCTCATAGGAGATGGCAACTGAACTAAAGATTCTAAAGATTGAAGTGAAGATGTGTATTCAAGCATGGAGGATGTAGACTTGGACCTCATGAAGCTTATGGTCTAGGAGATTAAGCTGTTTCCTTGCTTTCTTCATAACAGCCCTGTGCGATATAGGTAGTGTTATCCCTATTTTACAGATGAGGAAACTAAGGCTGAGAAAAGAAGGTGATGTACTCCTTCATCCCAAAGCAAGTAAGTATTGGAGCCAGGATTCAAACCCAGGTTTCTCTGACTCTTTTTGGTCTCTTTATGTCACTACATTGTGTTGTTGCACAAATTTCTACCACCACTACCATTACTACCCTACCCCCTAGAATATCCCTCCTCCCCCTAACTCTTAATAACGACTCTGTCCTAGACTGTTCTCATATATTACAACAGCTTCTTTGGGAGATAGTAGGAAAGCTGGTAGTCCATCCTGTTACTATGTATGTGTCCCCATCCTCGTGAATATGGACTTCAACAGTGACACTTCCTATCTGTCCTTCAGTAGCAGCCCCTCTAAATCTCAAGCCGTGCCTGGGGTCTAGTTTGGCACCAACCTTTACTAAACTCATTCAAAGTAAACCCTGCCTTCCCTGCCTCTTCACCTCCATTTCCATGCATTTGATTTGAGTTTGAAATAGAAAAAAAGCTTTTAAGTTGTAGACTTCACTAAACTCCCTAAGAAGCCCAACCCTATTCGTTGGGATACTCTTCTTCTACCCTTGTCTCAAGCCTTGGGCCTGATTTTTGAGCAGCAGGCACTGTGGGCTATAGTGTGGGAAGCAAAACTGCTCCTAGTTCTGTCCCCTCTATATAAACAGCATGGGCACCACACAAACTCTGCACTGCAGTAACTCTCTTTAACCTTCCAAATCCCCATCATCCTTGGCAACTCACTCATATGGGCTTGGGAATCTGAGAACCTGAGTTCAAATCCTGACTGCCACTCATTACTTCTATAGCCTCAGGTAAGTCACTTACCTTTTCTGGTCTGTTTCCTCACCCACAAAAAGATTGAATGAAATTATTTCTTTTTCTCCCCCTTTCTTTTTATTTCTTTTTAACAGTCTTTTTGATAAAGTTTTGATTTCCACATTCGCTCTCCTTCATCCATTAACAAGGCAAGCAATATGATATCAATTATATACATGAAGTCATGCAAAACATATTTCCATATTAGCTGTGTTACCAAAAAAAGCAAGAAAAATAAAGAAAGTAAAAAAAGTATGCTTCAATCTGCACTCAGTTCATCAGATTGATGAAATGATTTCAAAAGTCTCATTCAGCTCTAAAACTATGAAATTGAGTGGAACCCATCAGAACTTAACCTAGATTGGAGAAGCCCACATATGCTATGTCAGACATTGGAGTTTGTATAATTCAGAAAAGAAGTAGATGAACAGGTTGTGTGTTGTGGCTAATGGTCCCCAAACCTGCCCCCTATCTTTTCTTGGGGAATAAAGAGAAGGCAGCTAATGGCAGAAGCCCATAGGGATGTACGTCATGCCAATCAATTGGCAGTGACAGGAGAAAGAACACACATAAGAATTGGCATCAGAAGGCCTGCGATTGGCTCCTGAGTCTATCACTTGCTAGCCACACGTGTGTTCCCTTCTGAGTCTCAATTTTCTCATCTAAAATGAGGAGGTTATGGGGCAGCTAGGTGGCACAGTGGATAGAGCACCAGCCCTGGAATCAGGAGGACCTGAGTTCAAATCCAGCCTCAGACACTTGACACTTACTAGCTGTGTGACCCTGGGCAAGTCACTTAACCCCCGATTGCCTCACCAAAAAGAAAAAGGGAAAAAAAAAAACTAAAATGAGGAGGTTGGTGTAGATGATCTCTCCAGCTGTTATTTCTATGAGATATTAACTGAAGACATGGAGGAAGTGTTTCTTGTGAGTGTGGCACCACCTGCTGGCCATGTACCTTCAAATGGCCACTATTTCTACTTGGAAATTCTGCTTCTCCGACCATCCCAAATTTCAATGTGGTTCTGCTCCTGACAGCTGATAATATTTTTCTGCTTTTTATTCCTTCTGGGGAGTGACTATGGGAGCACTAGCCAGGGAAGGGAGTTTTGGTCTGGGAAGTCTCAGGGATGGGGAGTGGTGGTCTTTGCCAAGTTTCTACCATCATCTGTTAGAATTGTCATCTGCAGCTATCACTTCTTCCTGTGGGTAGAGGGGGTAAGAGGAATGTCAACACCCTTTTGGGAGACTTCCCCAAACCAACAAGGCTCTGGGGCTAATCAATGCGTTTTCACCTCCTTCCTTGACCCAACTCAAATGGCTCAGGCTGTTGTCAGTACCTTGCCCTCTCCTTCCCCTTGAGAAGTCATCATCATTCACTCCTAGCTGGATCAGGGTGAATGCCTTTAGCATCTTCCCTACCTGGGAGTGCAGGCTGTGTGCCTCTCCTCAAAGCCCACACTTTCCAGTAAGCCTTTCTGGGGCTGGTAATAAATAACTAGCACGTGCTTTCCATTTCATCCCCAACAGCTAGCTCCAGAGCTCTGTAAGTGGTCCTGAAGCTTTGGTAAAGCCTCAAGGAGGTATTTTGTAACAGTGGAACACAGCCAACAGCCTTTTACTCAATGCCTGCCATAAAGAAACTTTTATTGCCACTCAGTATTATGGTGGAATGTCCTGGGGAATCCACTGCTGAAAATCATATTCTTAGAGGAAAAGGGCAGTAGACTTCAAATCAGAAAAGCTGGGTTTGGGTCCCTGCCTTTAGCTAGCTATATGGTCCTAGGCAAGTCATTTTTACCTGTGGGGCTCAGTTCCCTACTCTGTAGGACAAGGGACTTGTCAAGGTGGTTCATGATAGAAACATCTCATGCACACCAAAATATTCAAAATATCACTTTGGAGTAGCAAGAAATGGGGAACAAAATGAGTGCCTGGTAACTGGGGATTGATTCAATACAGTGGCAGATGAATACAATATTATTGCATTGTAGGAAATATCAAATTTGAGGAATTGAGAGAAGCGATGGGACAATTTGTATGAACTGATAGAGTGAAGAAAGTGGAACCAAGCACAATAATATATGTGAACACAACCCTAAAAGACATCAGGATTCAGGTGACCAGCAGTGACTAGTCTTGGACCCAGAAGAATGGTGGTGAAATCTACTTCCCTTCTCTCAGAAAAGAAATGAGAGGAAGCTCATGCAAAATGCTGCATATACTGTCAGATGCAGGCAGTGGGACCATTTGGTTTTGCTTCACTTCTCCATTGTTACAAAGCCAAGCTGGGGGGGGGGGGGAGGCAGTGTTGGAAAAGATGGTGCTGATTTTTTTAAAGCATCAGTAAAATATTTTTAAAAATAAAATGAGGGGGCTCCAACTTTCCTTCTAGCTCTAAATCCTGAG